GTAGCAAATCTAGTCGTTTCAATTCTCTCCAAACATTGACGTAATTTGAGCGAATATTCCACATCAGCACTAGGGGATATTTAGCACACCAAATAAAACGTTGTTCTTCGAGGTTTGACAAATTTCCATCATTACGATTTCAATATTGTCATCATTCTCCAGATCCTTTCTTCTAACTGAGATCAAATCCATGTGTACTGCCCAAAAGGATACCCGATCTCTTCTGTCTTTGCGGTGTATGTAGTAGTTATTCAACCCTAATTCGAATTCCATGAAGCTAGGATACAGCCATGTTTCGGTGATAGCTATGACTAGAAAATAATCTTCTAGCAACAGCGCTTGTAAGTCAAAGACCTTGTTCCTTAAACTTCTAGCATTAAGTAACAAACATCGAAGATTATTAGTTGAACATCCTGTATTGCAAAGCGAATTATAGACAATTTTACCGCCTGGGTTAGATTCAACATCAGAAATGCGAATAATTTTTTAAGTAGATGGATTAAAGGTAGAAATTCCATTCGTATGATAGCCAATTCGAATGGTAAAGTACCTACTTTGTCGAAGCAGTCTCTCCAAAACAAGATGGCCGCCACACAGACCATATGAAAGTATGAAAAGTTCGCCACCACATTGCCATTTAGATAGTGTATGTAAATGTGCGGAGATGATCGAAGTTCCCGATGTTAGAGGACTTTCAGAGAACCTGATAATAGTTGCTGGTGCTCGGAAAAGTAGACAAAATAAAGCTAAATAGTAGGAAGTCGTAAGAACACGTCTTCCCTCCATAATGACCGCTGACAGACCGTGTCATGAGGTGAGACAGCTTATCTCATTACAAAGAGCGCCGGACAGAGTTTTATTAAGAAATGCGACAGCTTTTTTATTACAAAGTGCGGCAATTGTAAGCACAAATTGTGACAAGTGTTATGAGAAATTGCGATGAGCGTTTTTACAAATTGCGGCAAGTGTTATTGCAAAATGCGACGATAATTACAAAGTGCTATAATATTTATCATATCTTAAGTTTCAGTGAGCAAACGTGATATCAATATCATGAATAATGGTGGTGATTTTTGTCGTCTTCACATGGTTTGTTTTTCAAAGTTGGCTATAAATTACTAGTTAGGTATTTGTATATAACTCATGCACTAGCAGTTATACAAGGAATAAATTTAATAAAGAAAGATCATTGAAAAACTCGTTTCATCAAAGAAAGACTTCCTCTGTCTGTTGAGATAAGTATAATACAGGTGTCGCACGCTTTGTTACCATGACAGGGAAGTGCAGTTTTAAATATTAGGTTCCGTTTTATGTCCTGGTGCAGGCGTTCTCTCGCATCAACCAGAAAACAACCAAAACATAATCAAGATTTTGAAGAGCCACCTAACTATTTGACAGAAACATTTCTCTCTCAAACTACATTGATGTCCATATTTCCTCTCGATTTTATAAGACACGTATTTCAGATGATTTTCCACTTGGTAACTTCGTAGTCAAATACCTGTTTAACTACTTAAAGAACCTATCAGTAAGAGAATTCTACAATAAGAAATATATCTAGTTAGCCATATCCATGAGGTAGATAACAAATATCAGTCGAAGTTTGGAACCGTCGGTGAAATAATCTCCTATAAACTAAAACATCTCAGTAAAACATTTGAAAACGATAACCCTGAACTTTTGCTGCCGACTATAGCCTCCTTCATCAGTAACTCACCTACAATAAGCATTTTTCCATAACTTTCATCATTTCAGTTTTTGCTATTCTTACCACATGTTACAAATAATATCGATATGTAACAGTTTTACATTCAGGCTAACTTTCAAACTTGTGGGCCCGAACCATTTGTATCCCGACTTCTTTACTTTGTAGCGACCGAATAACCGCCAACTTTGTAAATAAGTAATGCAAATACCAGAGAAACAATGAATTGTTATTTCCCACATATACACATTAGCTAGTGGAGGCCAAAGACGATAATTTCCAAGTAGAAAGCATTAATATTTGCGTTATCCAAAAGAACTCGACTGTGAATCGCTATAGATCCAATACTTTCTATCTCGGACATAATCCGAACTGCATATGGTTATAAGATGTACTACAATAATGCAAAGCTGAAAAGACCATCTTAGGCAAAGGTTGGAAATGGCTATCCAAGAACCGATGCTACTACCATTTAAAGAAAAGAACTCCCTACCTTTTTGACAAAAAGATATTTTATCTTCTCCGCTGATTATGTGACAATTTTGGTGCTAGTCAGTCGTCTCTTTTTTTTTATTTTACGAAACAGCAATTGTTAACGTGATAGGCGTAATATTTTGTGACCTGAAGGTCACGCGGCCAGCCGCACCCTGCTTAACGGTCGAGCTGATCGACACCAAAAATTATGAGAACCGCAAAGGCAATTTTTTTAGTATTTATTCAGTTTGGTGATCAGTTTTCATGTTCAATATCGACTCCTTTAAGAAAAAGCTTCCGGCACACAGACTTGTTACTGAACCCATGCTCATTTCTGCTGCCATAATGATTGTTTCAGCGTAGGATACTAAATACATTATAAGAATGCGTTCAAAGTGTTACAGCAGGTGCTTAGGGAGTTAAAATGTACGACGGCTGTAATAATGTATATTTCAAACAATTTTCAGAAAGCTTTAAGGTTTGTGACATTTTTTGGTATAAATTGTCTTTCTTCTCCTTATACTCGCGACATGCCACAGTTGATCATCCATTCACGGCAAGGATCATCGGCAAGAATTAGGAAACAACTAACGTTAAAAAAAGAAAAACAAGCCACGGTATTTAACTACTTTAAATGCCAGACTTTCAAAAGCTTATTCCCTGAGTTCAAACAGAATCTCCTCGTCAGCTATCGGCTTCATTCAAGGAATCATTCACGAAACAAACGAATCACACAGAGCGACCTCGGTCATTTGAGTCTTAGATTTAATAACATCACGGTAACATTGACCAATCAGCTTTCACCGAAAGACTCGCATGGCTTGATAATCGAAGGAAAAAAACTCATTTGACTACAAAGATAACATCCACTTGCCAATATCGACAACAGCCTTTTTAGAACAGCTCTCACTCTTACGATCAAACTATACTCTTATGATCAAACTATACACGATTGGGAGGAAGAAAGTTAATAAGCTTTGGCTCACAGCTCATATCAGATTCTTCTGTGTTAAGCACAAATGCATCAATAATCCAAAACGCTCATCTTTAAAGTAATTCGACAATCTCACAGGGGAACAATCATTTCACGCCCACACATGTAATTATGAACAGAACAATGAGTAGGGATAACAGGAACTGATCTCCAATGAAAAGTTAAAAGCACATAGAAAAAAAGCACGCAATGAAGATAGGAGTGATCATGCAGTCACCCACGAGAAGTGGCCACTTAGATAGAGGTCCGAACGTAAGGTTATTATGAGGGGTGTGTTGCTGGTTTCTATACGAGGTCCCTTATAATGTTCGCATGCTTCAAATCTCTTATATTTAATGATAAACCGAGTTTACTTTGTGAAAAACCGAGAGATAAAAGACATAACACACCCAACAGCCCCCCTTTTTATATTGCCACCGGCCTGTTTTTCCCTCTTTGTTGTCATGAGCCAAGATGAAGTTCCCCAAAATTATGCCATCCTAACCTCGTACTTTTTACTCCTTTATTTATCGTAACATTTGTAATCGAAGTACGATCGAGTTCAAGTATTTCCATGAGTCTCTTTGCATGATCACCTGGTCTTATATGCCCTATATGTTCTAGGAAATTCCTCAGGTTATAGACTGTCCACTATCAATGTGCTGTATCTTGCCCACGCCGCCGATGAATGACCGTTTCAAAACCTGCTGTACTGAGGTTACTTGATGATACGAAGAGAAAAAACAGGGGAATATAAATTATAAGTTTCATCACCTGCTATCAAAGTTAAAGCCAACCGTGAGTTGAAAGCCGTTTTAAAATGACTTACATGCAGTATAATGGAAACTAAATTAGATAGCACTGACTTATAATTTAATTTATTTACAATTTGATTAAGAAAAGCGCAGCTAATACTCGGGTTTGGCTATACCTCCTTTTTTCAGAAAGAATGCATAGATAAATTCCTCAGGATAATTATTTATCAAGTAAATCCTTTCCGGTTAAAGGAACCAACATGATGATAGCAGAAGCTGATTTTCGACATCGTCTAGATCCGGCTTATTACCCAAAGTGTAGAATGCCATAGAAATTTAAATGTCCTTGTATTTGCTGTTTCAATGTTCTTCCAGGAAAAAATTAGAATCGTCTTCAATTGAAAACCAAAAAATTCCCTTCATCCTGTCAGAATGGTTTCCCATGCATTAAAACGCTTGGAAAACATAATTCAATTACCATAAATATGTACTCCTATACATTTACGTGTTTACTTACACATGTTCAGTTTATTGCTTTTGTATTTTCAACTTACTATTTTAGGCAAACATTATTACAGTTCTTTGGATAATATGACATTCGTAGCTACTAATTTGATGTATGGCATAATACCTATCTCGTCTTCTATTCATAAGTCAGAACTACTCTTTTTGTTCAATTACGAGCTAAACCACCTTATTAGCTTAGATATTAGAGCGCAAACAGGTCATTTGAGGAAAAAGCCTTGGACAGTGTGCCGATTATTGTCTCGTTTCTGGTAAATAGTGCAGTGTAGTTTTCATTTAATTTAAAATACTGGATGTCAAAATATGCAGACAATTTGGCTTCATATTCTCAGACTTCTTCCGAAAGGTAGTGAGAGCTGCAAAATCCCAACAATCTTCGTCTTGTTAAACGTCTCGCAAAATATTTTCATATAACTCCAAAGACGCCTCTTTAATGATACAACTGACTGCATATCTCCATGGAGATCTAAGAGTGACATAGGTGTTCAAATTAGGATTACATAAGTTTGCAAGATGCATACTACCATGTCAAATTAAATTGCATTCGGGAAACAGGAGACACTTTTCACGAGAAAAGGGCAGGTAAGTATTTGCTTTTGGCGTATGTTTTTGTGAGAGTTTTCTTGTGAAAAAGCATGAAATGTTTTGGCATGTGTGACTAACGAACATGCAGAAAACCCTTAACAAAATTCGCTCTTAATGAAGTGTTTTGCAGTTTGGTTTGTAGAAATTGGAACTCGGAATATTTGATGAGATGAATAACTCCAATTCAAGCAGTGGAAAAGGTAAGCTTTCATGTTGGCATTTAAATGGTCTTAGAGTTTCCTGCGAGGCCTTAAACCACTAAAATGATTAAAAAAGATTTAAAAACAAGTCTTCTAGCTTTCACTGACCCACGGCATCAGCATGGATAGAAAATATTCCGTGATACAACTTCGCTGAGAAGGTGAAGGTGAGGTGTGATAAAGTGGTAGACAATTCTAAGGAACAAAGCAGGCGAAGTGAGACTCTACATAATAGGGAATGGGAAAGAGGTAGATAAAATTTTTTGAATGGTGGGTCAAGGATGGAGTAAATAACTAACTGGAATGAAATAATATAGTGATAAAACTAAAATAGAATTCGAAGGTATGTAAAGGATTACTTCTCCTATTCTGTTCGCCCTAAATTAATGTTTGTAAATATTCTATCAATCTCTAATAGGTGGTGACTCAGTGAAGCTGTTCATTGACACAAGCAGAATCATTACTACAACCGATTATGCGGTAACGATCATATGTGGACTGGTTGGAAATGGTCTTGGCATTTCCTTAGCGTTAAGAAGGAAGGCTGGAAATCGCGCAACAAATCTGTTAATAACAAACATGGCGGCTGCAGACCTACTTGTTACCCTGTTTGCTATGCCTTATTCGGTCCTTTTAATCAATGTGGGCCAGCAATGGATCGGAGGCGTCATTGGCCAAGTAACATGCAAGTTCGTCCATTTTGCTTATCAAATTTCAATTCCTGCATCCATTTTCACTGTTTTATTGGTCTCGTTTGATCGTTACTTTGCTATTTGTTATCCCATGAAAGCAAACGTGTTTCGAAATGGCAAGGTCATGACAACAACTATATGGATTTCTTCTGCAGCATATGCAGTTCCATTTATGATGGCAAATGACATACTCGAAGATAACGATGCCAGCTATTGCCTTCGCATCTTTTCCCCACTTGACAATCAGAAGTCGAGACAGACCTATTATTTGGTTACTTTCATTTTACTTTACTTTGTGCCTCTGACAATCCTTTTGGTCTTGTATAGCCTCATTACACATAGACTCTGGCAGCGAAAAATTCCTGGTAATGTCAGCAAGGCCAGAATTAGATCAGCTCAGAGGGAAAAGAGAAGGATTATAAAAGCTTTGATTCTGATTGTCGTGGTTTTTGCAATCTGCTGGTTTCCAGCTCATGCTATGCACTACTTGGTTTACTATCGCACGGATATCTATCGCAGTATATCAGTGGAAGTTGAAATATTCTTCTTTTGGCTCTGCCACGCTAACAGTATTATAAATCCATGTTTGTATGTGTTGATGTGCCCCAGCTACCGCAAATTTATACAGAGAAGTTTCGGGCGTTTTTGTTCTTGCTGTAGCCATGCCAATTTTAACTCTTTTAGGAGGCGAAGCACTGGGATGCTCACCCTCAGTCGATCGCTCGATGCTACCAGCACTACAGTTGTTGGATTTTCCTTCAAAATTAAGGACGCAATGGATACTCGACTGTAATATTTGCTCACTTTCATTCAAACAAACAAGCGAGAAAAGGTTCAAACTCATTGGAAAATTTTCTGAAATGGGTAACCGTTCAACAATCTCATTTTTTTTTACCCGGGTTTCCGTAGGGAAGCCCGAGTCTAAAACTGCAAGCCGTTCTTGGTCGCCAGAAGGGGGGTCATGGTGCCAGGCTTTCCTTGCTTAAACCGCGGAAACTGGGGATGAGAGTGCAACAACTTGTGTTGTCATGTGCTCGCTTTTCGTAAATAACATAATTTACAGAATGCTGTGTTTCGTGAAGACCGCGTTGCAAAGATTCCTGTCTTGCACCCTCATCTCACATACAAACGCCAAAAAAATTAGCTATATGTGAGTTCAAACTACGAAAATTCTGGCAAAACTAGAACAGCCGATGTAACAACAAACTATGATGCTGAGACGAACACCTCACTTGCTGAGAAAATTAGAGTGTTCACGAGCACAACTTCAAAGGTAGCGCTAACAACAGCCAATTAGATAAGGATACTGACAGAAGCAACTTGAATAGTAAGGTTAAACATTTAAGCTTAGCTCTTCCGTTAAATATCCTGTTTCTGTTTTTGGTTTTTATTAGGTTCAATACTCGTAAAGTACGATTTGGTATTTCGTACATAACCACTATTATTATTATACAAGCGATCGTGAATATTGGTTTGCTCTTTGCATGGAGTTGTTAGTACTTAATAGAAGACATGATGATTATTGTGATCTACTCGAAAAGTTGTCAATATGACTAATGTACAGGAACATAATGATGTTACAGTGTCAATAAAATTACAACAATTCAGATCTCGTTATGCATAGCAATTATAATTGTACTCGTGTTTTGTGCGAATGCAATAGTATCAAACGAAGCCCGAGTGAACGCTCCTCGAGCGTCTAGTTTTACTATAACACACAAGCCATCTCCAAGTGATCATCTCCATGACAAGATTCAGAGCAATATTGTTTGATATGTCTATTTACTCAGAAGCGGAGTCGGATGTTAAACGGATGTCTCCCAACGAAAGTTCAGTGATTTGCAAAAGTAATAACTACTCTAGTAACTAACTTTGATCGACGACACGTGAACGCTCAAATATTCCATTAAGGTGGCAGGATGGCGTCCGGCAGTAACTTTGATTAGAGTGGTGTTCCTTATTAGTAGTTAGAGGACATTTAGAAAGAACATAATAGATTTAAAACTCAATTTCTAATCATACACAGATGACTTTTATTTTTAATCTATAGTTCGAAGTACTTTATAGAAAACGAAGCTAACTAGACTCATAACTTGTACATGTAAGCATTGAGATTTAACTTTCTAAGTTGATTAATCCTGAGTAATTATAAAAAATAAATCTTCGTAGTTGTATAGATATTTTCTCAAAAATAATACGTCACTGTCAGAAAGACCCTAAGACTTTCATTGTAACTTAAATCAAGTAAAACAACACATTTAATTATTGCTCATTAAAAGCGTTTGAGAATTCTCAACCCCGGAAGCTTTAACAGTAGTGGAAAGCGTTTTAAGATGATCCGGCCTGAGTACCAGTGATCAACAGAACATCTGACGAGATGCGTAACGATAATGCAAAGAAACAGAAAAACCTTGTAAATGATAGTAAATGTTTACATATTACTAATTCACCCGCCGGGCTCTACAATGTGCATTAAAATCAATAAATAACATCCTAATTTTAAATTACATTTAACTTTAATCAGATAGAAATTTCAAAGAAAAAAATTAAAAGGCAATAATTTCCCACATTCAAACGATTAATTCTCTCTTCTACTTTACCTAAATACCTCCTTTACTATTCTGACATGATTAACGTGGTATTTTAACTCAGCGGTAACCGTTCGATCAGCTTCAACATTCCACTGACTTATTGTAATATTATTAAAGGGAAATACGAACTTCAGTTTTGAATACACTGATGCTGAAGTTATTACCAGGTTGTTGTTTTGATCTTGTTTCTCTTCTTTCCTCCTTGTCATTGACATCTACAATTCGTCCATTTTCCAATTGTTTTCCACATGCTGCTTTACTGGTCAAGTCAGGTACAACCGTAGTTTTGAAATCAAAGATGACAAGAAAAAACAAAGCTAAAAAATTCCCTTGCTGTTATAAAACAACACTAAATCCTTGTTTTCCTCTTCTCACTGAAGCTCCAAAAATTGCAAATAACTTTTTTATTGTGCAAGAGGAGCTTTCATGTAGCATTTGCCCTTTAAATCCAGAAATCTTTTGGCAACCATTTCCAGCTTCAGGATTCACAATAAATTGGTCATTGTCTACTGCATTTATATAACGACAGCCAGTTGGAACAAATTTCCCCTTTTGAACGTTTTCCATGTAATTCTGCGCGTTGATGTAAGGACTGTATCGGGCCACTACGGCAGTACAATTGAATTTGTCTACGGGAAAATTTGCCCGTCCAATTCCAAGCTGCTGATTTGTTCGCCATACAATCCTGCTGAATGGTTTCCCTTTTTCGTTTACAGGGATTGGTTTATCAAAATCCCAGTGGCAAACAGTAGAATACCTGGTGGATAAACGATGAGACGACTCTCTTTTAGCGATCTGGGTTATGTAAAAACGTCGGAAAAAATTTATTTAATGTCTGGAGAAAGTTTCCCGTCATGCATACACAACTACTGAAATTGACTCTTTCTATGATGTTATTAGAAGTAGAAAAGCAAACATAAATTCCTACCCTTTTTTTTTTCTCGGTCAGAATCATGAAAAAGAGAGTGAAAAAGAGCAAAGTAAGTTGTATCTTTAGAGATGAAAGACTGAGTTGTTTCTATGCATAATCATTTAAGTAATTCTTACCATTCTTGGACTGCCTCAAAAGCAGACACTCCTGTACTGAATGCTTTGCAGCGTAAGAAGATGTTTTCTGCTTGCCCTGGTCGGCTTAGAATTGGAGAATGTTTTACGCTCAAACTTTGGGCAATCTGCTGGGCATATCGTGCAGCCTGAAGGCTCAACTCATGGTCGAGTTGAAGATCTGGAGTGTTATGCAGTTTACGATGAAGATTGTGATACAACAGTCCCTGCACTTCGAATGGAGTAATATCTGGAGGAAATAAGGTATTTTATTATATTTGAAACTCTTCAGAGATTTTAAAGGCTATCGAGAAAACACTGATTTCTGCAACGGTGATTGAATTTTCGAAGTCAGCACCAGTTCTTCTCTGGGCTCCCTTAACCAGCGCAGCTAGGAAGTATTTCAAAAAAATTGTGACGGAAAATTCGTCTTGTAGGTTTGTGTTTTGGGGGCTGTTTTGGTGTAGGCATTAGCGAAAACTCATCAAAATGCGAGTAGGACAGGTGAGGATAGAAAAAAGGCCAGTAAAGAAAAAACTATTTTGTTTGGATTTGACTTGGGACGGACAAGCTTAAGAATACTTTTAAACACGCATCAATTGGGTTGAGTCACAAGATCCCAAAGTAACAATCTTCCACTCTGCTAACCAATTTGACAATTTTATTTACGTTCCTCAGAATATTCACCATCTCTGCCTTTCTTTTTAAATAGCCAATTGGCTGGGTAAATTGTCTATTTTTTTGTGTAAAAAGTTTCCAAAATCCGTGATTGGTACCCAGCACCTGGACTTTTAGATGAATTTATCATTCCTTTTTTTCATTTTGTCCATCTAAGTAAGTATATAGGGAGTCTCAAATCAAAACCTCTCGAGGAATGGACTATCTTACCTTGAGATTTCGGTTCCATTTCCACAGCAGGTGTTGGGTTTGCATCTCGTTGGTACCAGCTGTAGACGGGCGCCATTTTGTAGTAAGGTGGAAACTGTGGTCGATACTGATATCCTAGAGAGGAAACAAGAAAAATAGGACTGGAATTAGATAATCGACTCGATTAGCTGCCAAAGGTTGAACACGGAAGTTATGAGAATATGCGCAAGTGGCAACGTTCTCGGTTTTAGTTTACATAATAAAGCAGCGAGTGCAAGTAATTTATGTCTGTGATAAACGAAGCTTGCAGAAATCTTTGTCCATTTTATCATAATACGGACCTGACGAAGGATCAATTTCAAAACTCTACGCCTCCGCAAGTACGTTTCTTCTATAATTTTCAACTTGGTAGAACTTTGGTTTCTAAGGAAAAAAATTTTCGCGATCAATGTATCAAGATCAATCAATTTTAAGTCTGGGTGTGATGCTTTAACCATATTATAGCTTAACGTAACTATGAACATATAGAATTCCCACACATGAATTTAGTTCTTGACACAAATGTGACAGTCTTCGCTCTCTTTTCGTAACGGTTCATTAACCGTGGTAAAGTTTCCCTTAGCCGCGATGATTAAAGTAAAATATAATATTTCTTACTTGGGTTAAAAAGAAAAGCTCATCTCACCTCCATAGACTCCATAATTTTGCCCGTTAGCGAAAGTGAAGACAGCAAGCAATGGAATGGTCCACAATATTCCTATCATGCTACTGCGAAGAATACCTGAAAGTTTAAGTTCTCGAACTTCTCAGAGAATGATATCCAGGTTGCTTCGTCTTCCTAAAAAAGTTAGAAGGCACCAGGACACTTTTCAAACTTACATTTCCGTCTTAGATATTTAAACGTTTGCCGGAATATTATCGTGAATCATGGACGGACGCCATTTTGAGGTTATCCTCTCGATATTGTTGTAGATATGACCTTGCTGCGGCCACCTGTTGGCGGGAAAAACTGCCACCCTTCACAGTTAAGCGGGTGTCTCTTTTTCTTTTTTTCTCTAAAAATATTGAGCTAAAATAAATTGCAGAACAGTTTATCAAAACTTTTGCATGAATACAGTCTTACATTGCCCCATTTCTAAATGAATCCAACTAGTACAATGACTACCACTATTTCTGACCTATGCTTTTTTATCGTATCAATTCTGTTTATAAAGGCGGGTATTGACAAGGAAAATTTACTTAGCTCAACAGAATCATCAAGTACAATTAAGCGACGGATAAACGACTTAGGTAACCTCATGTGGCACTTGACAGATTGACTTGTCTGATAACAAATTAAACAAATTTTTTTGTTTGCCTTACACGAAATAATCAGGAGACCCCCTGGTTTTCTATTAAGAAAAGAAAACACCGCGTCATTAACAAAGTCAACTATCTCGATAAATCTTCATCGAACCTAAAACGCCAATATAGTTGAACAAATTTCGTTGCACTCTTCGTTCATTTCAGTAAGGTCAAATACTTCATCTTGTCGTACCTGCTGGTCCGTTTCTTTAAAAGAACTATCCTTGTTAGTCAAATGTCGACCAGGTCAGCAGGAAGATGTTTTTCTCGTCATCAATTATTGTTATGCGATTCGTCTTTTCTTGCAAAGCAGACCAAATTCGTTGAAAACTTCTTCTTTGCCACACTCGTGGGAAAAGTCAAGCTTTTGCTAACGGTAAGGTGTTTTGGTTACAGGTTGTCCAAACAGAGCATTCTAGACTGTTCGTGCTGTTATTTGACTGGTTGCTCCTGATTTGTTTTGGTAGAGAAGTGACAAATTTGCGCGACATAACAAAGAAGTTCAATATTCAAAACGCGACAATTTATGAAATAAATGGCTTCAGTTCTAAAGTACTATCTTTAGGGTATAGGCCTGTGAGCACAAATTTGAAGCGAGGCGCCCTAAGACAGCAATGTTTTTATTGTATTTAATGAGCCGTTGGGGGGGGAATCCGGTGGCATCTTTCTTTCAGGAATTTTCGAAACTTAACTCGCCCTTCTCGCTCTTCTTTTCTGGCATTTTGGAACTTCTTTAGAGAAAAGAACTTGTCACTTTCAGGTTACCTTAAGCCAGGTTTTTTTTTATAATTTGCATTGTCAAATAAACTAAGCATATCGATATCCGCATATTTTTCTTCTTTGATTTTAGCCAAAAAGGGGAAGTTAGGCTCTCGCGACCCACCCTATTCTTACGAGAATGGAGTAAAAGACTTCCCCAAGAGGAACAACTGCTATCGATGACAGTATCCTTGAGAGGTGAAGGCCACTGATGTGATCACATTGGCTAAAAGACTAAAATAAAGTTCTCTAAGGGGTGATTGCTATGTCTCTACAGTTAAGAAATGACGTTCGATAAGTTCGTTATATTTGTGGCATGAATAAGAAACAGAAAGTGTCGCTTATTGGCTGTGGTCTAGAGCAGTCTATTCAGAGCACTCTTTAACTGAGAGGTAGGTCTGTTTGGAAGAATTTTGATCGAGGTCGCTAGTGCAGGCCCAACACAGTGATCACCACATAAAATGTTGACCTGGAAATTAAAGCCTTCAAGCTTGTGCTCTGGCAAAAACTGCCTGGGACCGGATCTTTTTCAATGCGGAGACATTTTGCTGTGATTTAGTGGAATTACACAATGATACAGTTGAAAGCTTCGTTTGAAACCACCAAGTGTAAACGGTTCATATTCGCTACCATCCTGTTTAACGACAAAAAGATCGGAAATTTTTGACAAAAGAGAGCTGAGTTCATGGAAAAGAATCACTCTCCACTCCCCAGCACTAAACATATAAGTCTCTAAATTTATTTTTTTTTCAACATGGAATTAGAGTAAGGAGGCTCTGTTTATGCATCCAGCAATTTTTTTGTCTGCATTGTGTCCACTGCAGTCACATTATCTATGTTCGTGTTTGTGTGATTTGCTTGCTCGTTTCTTGTGGTGAATCTTGGAGCGTGGCGACAAGTATTGCATAATCGTCCTTTTAACACCTGTACAATCCTTGGCTTTATCAAAGGAGCCCTTAGGTACGTTTTCAGCGTAATCTCCAATCATATTCCCAGCTGGTTTGTAACGACCTACAATGTAGGAGCATTTCATTCCATCCTTATCGATGTCTGCTTTTCCAATACCGAGCTCGACACTTCCCTTCCAAATAACTTGAGTAAAGTGGCCAGTCCCTCCAGTTCCGCTTGGTTGGCCAAAGGAGTATCCATATTCACAGACTTCGTTGTACCTTTGCAGAAAAACGTGGATGAGAAAAAGAAATATCGGCCAGCATCGGTGTCTAATTTTCTTGTACGCTTTTAACTTTTCTACCTGTGTGACAGACTACTCCAGAAAAAAAGTACTGTACATATGAATAATGATTTTCCCCCATGGTCTCATCAACTGATCATGGATGACTAATATAATTTGACTGACTGCATGACTTACTGACAAACTGACAGACTAATTGACTCTTTAGCTGGCTGCCTGAACGACTGATTCACCACTCTATAAACAAACTGACGATTTCTTAAGAACAGCCTCCTAACGAACCACTCCCATGAATAACTGATCAACCAACCAACAGTCCAGCCGTAAAACCGAATGACCAACTCAGGAATGGCCAGAATTTTCAAAGAAATAAGATGACAAATTAGCATACAGGCTTACAAATTTAAAAAAACTTTTTTTTTTTTTACCAATTTGTAGTAGCTTCAGCTGTTGTTTGACCATCACTATCACAGCCCATGGACAGATTTTCCCCGTCCTCGTTTCTTTCTTCTCGTGAGGCGTGCTTCAGTGCACCCATCTGGGCAATTTTTTGGGCATATGCCGCTGCAGCCTTGCTCATCTCGGCATTTAGCTTCATTTCCGGAACACCGTGCCTTCTTCGATATTCGTTATGTTTTCTCAGTGCTTGCTCTTCGTCTGATCCTAAAAGCATTAGAAAGCAATGCTCTAAGTTGCAGCTTTGTACGGAAAGGATCAAGAGGAAGGGATCTCCTATGTTTGAATTCAGAAACCATTTTTTTTTGTTTTGTTCTTCTGGTAATCTTAATATTCATTTTCATTGGTTATGCTTTAATGTCCCCCCATGCCTCTTGGTACCTCTCAGGAAGCTAAAGGAGACACTTTGGAAACGCAGAAGCTTCGAATATTTCATTTCTTATTGAAGCTTTGCTGCCTTAGACACGATTTCTATGAATATCGACGTGGAACTGATATATTACCGTGGGCTTAAAGAATCAGAGAGAGTGAGCATAGATTACAAACAGAATACCCTGATACCTCCACCACCGCTACTTGGTGGTGTTGTGGCAGCTCCTCCTCCAGTTTTAGGTGTAGTGACTCCTTGTGTAGGCCCTGTTCCTCCAGCACCTCCTCCACCAGTTGGTGTAGCACCACCGGGCGTGACGCCACCTGGTGTGGATCCACTCGGTGTGGATCCCCCAGGTGTGGTGCTACCCGGTGTTACGCCACCAGGGGCTGCAGCACCACCGGGAGTAGCTGAAGGCGCCTGTGTTGGTTTAGTTTGTGAACAGGGTACCGGACAAAGCGCTGGCCTCGGGGTACCAGCTGCACCCGGTCCTCCACCAGCCCGTGGTCCTCCGCCTGCACCTGGTCCTCCGCCTGCCCCGGCCCCTCCAGGTGCACCAGGCGCTTTGTTTGATATTTTCAGACCGATATCGACATCCACACCATCCGGTTCAAACTCATACGTACCTGCACCTATGAAATAGAGGGATTTTTTTTTTGTTTTCATCGTGGTTCACATGACTTGGTGCCAAAGTATCATCACTCAAGGACAATAGCCAGGACCCGAAACGCCCCTTTCGATCATTTCACTCATTTCAATTTGTTTTGACGAGGGTTGAGACATTCGTCATCGTACTGCATACATACCGACAACGTTTCCATCTTGGATTTTAAAAGCTCCTGTCGATGGCGCTCCTCCATTGGCTGGATTGTCTCCTAGAGGCAGACCAACAGCAGAAAAGTGCACCGGGCGGAAACCTAGATTTTCCCTTTTTTCGTCTTTCGAGGAGTGGTCAGCGTAAACCTGAACTAAAAATGGGAAGAACTTACAAAAATAAATGGACGAGATCGTCATAGATTTTTTTATTAAAAGAGGAATTTAAATAAGACTGACAAACCTTGAGATATGTCAATAAAAAATACCAACGATTATAAACATCTTCAAGAAGTTTTCAGATCCAGATTGTATAGGACTCAGTTGCAGATATAGTTTAGCTTAAGTACCACCGGCTGAGTTACAATTTAACACTAGAACAAGAAGCGCATAGAAAATGGCATGGTCAGAGTGTAAATAGTGCACGCAACCTCAATTTTGGGTCTATGGAAAGTACTTTACATTTGATAATTAAGAACCGGTGCCGGAGTTCTTAAGGATATAACCAGAGTAAACAAAAGACGTTTAACAGCAACCAAAGTTGACTTATTAAGTGTTTTGGAAGGCTATGAAGGTCGATAAGCGTTCCAGTTAAAATGATTTCAGACTTTTCCACTATTTTAGAATGTGTAAGGACTTTTTTCGAATAAAAACTTTCAGCGACAGTATTACATCGTAACTACTGCTTAATCAAACTTTCGATTTACTCGCTAGAGTAGCTAGCTTTGAATTGCATACCTAACAGGAAGGAAAGCACACAGATGTTGACAATCCAAGCTTTCATACCCTCAAGTGTCGAAGATCAAATTTCAAGATTCACCTCTTGTCTTGTTCAAGTGTCTCACTTAAAACAAAGCCTTAAAACGAATGAAAATTTCACGGTGTCAATCCAACAACATCAAAAGTAAAAGAAATTAACATTGTATTGTTTCAATCGAAGTAATATCACTTTCAAGCAAGATGTAAACTCGATCTAGAAGAATCACTTTAGTCGTCAAAGCAATGCAACACGATATGCACCGTTTAAATGGCGTTCATGCTATGAAAAATTCCTTTCTTTCCTTTCCGGAATGTTTGATGAAAAATGTGTACACATACCTCTTTGTCCGCGACTTAAAACAGCCTGCTACCTGAGATCTTTCTTTTCTTGTTAAATTTATTTCTTCTTTTTGAAATCTGTTATAGGTATCTCCGTGCACTGTTTGCACAAGTAAACACCTGTTTAAGATAACGAGTTCAAATTCAAGGGCTTCTTATGATAGTGTGAAGATATCCGAGGAAAAGTGATAAAAAATTCATGATTCAAATACCTAACACGGTCTATTGGACAGCGCTCCAGGTCCTCTGTGTTTGTAATTCTTCTAGTTTGTTCCCAAACGTCGGGTGGTGTATTTATGTGACTATTTCATAAGATTATCCTCCCCAGATTACACCTCTACTCTGCAATGCTTTGTCTCTACTCTTTCAAGTTGTGAGCATAAGTCATCTTCATCCACTATTTCATCTATTACTCTTTGTCCCGTCGGAAATATTGGAGAGAATAGTGCAATAGACAATAGTTATCACCGCAGAGGTTTCCTTTTTTGAACAATGCGTTGCAGCTGTGGGACCATCTTCACAATTTTATAGCTCGAGGCTGAGTAGAACTTACGTGATATGACATTTGCTTAAAACATTTCTAACGTATGAGGTTTTATGAATTGAAGGGACGTCCTTATCCTCTGAGTGAAGAAAAAAGTTTAATTTTCGAAAACGGTCTCAACTAACAAGTCTATAGCGAAATTGAGACGATGTAAGCTAGGTTTTTTAACAGCTGGCAGGTAATGTCAAGATCACATTCAGTAGAAGTTTCCTATTTGAACTATCATTAGTAACCAGTTTTTGCAGGAAAGATTAATTTAAATGAACCGTTCTATTGCTCAGAGCTCACAAAGGGGAGGATGCTTTAGCAAGAAATTGTTTACTAGTTAAAGAATACTAAATTATCTTTGAAGAAAATTAGAGTTAGAAAAACGTACATTTTACTAAAGACGATTTGATCTTTAATATCCTAAGGCGGCAGAGGATCTTCAGTCATTTTTGACATTGAAGTTCGAAGGTACTTTAAAAACCGTAAGAAAGTTTGTTCACATTCAATCATTGCCTGCGACTCGAAGGAAATTAAATAAAATTCTAATGGTCCCAAGCTGTAGCACCTCCCTGAGAAGACAACCGTTACGTGTGCACCTATGGCCTGGCTTTTCAAATAGTTCTGTACCTCAAGCCTCGACCATCAGAACCTAAAATCCGAAAGTCCGAAGCTCCTTTTCTCATATGAGAATCAGATGTTTTCATTCTTCTCCCCTTGTAACCGTGAACGGAGATGGAAGTGGCATAGGAGTTTGAATGTTAAATTCCTTGTGACCTCTGTTTTGGCTGGGGTGATAGTTTTAGTGATGTGAATAAGCGGTTTGCTAACTGATTACAAAGCTCAACGCATTTAGGTGAGGTCCGGAAATAACTTTTTTTGCTAAAATAAAATGTATAACGGATCCCAGACTAAATATAACATAGAGTTATCCCTCTACTGTATTTTAATTTTTATTTATTCAATACTTGTTTGTTTGTTTGTTTTTATTTTTCTTTTATCCTATGTATCTTGGTCTATTCTCATTAATTCGTATAGGAAACAATTAAATGTCCTAACTGGATTTGGGAGAACAATATAGAGTAAGAGTTTCTGTATTTCATCCACCATAAGTCCCATTGAAATTTGGACTTTGAAATCTCTTGAAACCATATCCTCCTTCTAAACCTGCTTTCGGAATATTTCTGCAATAAGTTTCATCAAACGTTCCCTTCTGGATATTTTTCACGTAGGCATCATCACCATTTTCAAAGTTTCCTAAAGGCTTATAGCGAGCAACAATAAAGGTGCAAGTTTCTCCATTAGGTTGCTTGTTGGATGCTCTCCCAATTCCCAACTCCCTGCTTTCTTTCCAGACCAGCTGCGTGAAATGATTGGTACCCGACTGTGGACCCTGTTTGCCAAATGTGTACTGGCACACTTCATCAAACCTGCATCAGAACAATACAGCATCAAGATAATCAAGAGTCTCCCTCTCCGAGAAAGATGATTGGCTACCAGCGAACTTTCAAAGAAACCTGAAAAAAAGGTGGGAGTAACCAATACCTACACAAATAAGACAGACTTGAGACGGACATACCATGTTTTTATTGCTTCCTCGGCGGTCTGCTCCCTAGTACCATGGCAACCAAGAGAAAGATTTTCGCCTTGATTGGGTCTTTCAGTATCTCCTGACTGCACCAGAGCGTCCATATCTGCCAGTGTGCGGGCGTAATTCGTTGCATTTTTACTCATGTCACAGTTCAATATCAGCGCAGGAGCACCGTGCATTGTTCGGTATCTGTTGTGTATGCGTAAGGCTTCTTGTTCAAACGGGGAATCTGATAATAGATGGATAAAAAAGAAAACGTTTTCTTTCCTACAGAAAACGAAGTGAACAACTGTGCTATTTTATAGTAATTCATGGATAACAACATTGTCAACATAAGGATGCTCACCAATTTTAGGCACACAGTTGTTGAAGAGGGAAGATTCCATGCGTGTAGCGCTAATTGCTAACGTTCATTAAAAAGGGGTCTAGCTACGGAGAAACAGCTTTACTTACGAATGCAATTTGCTGTAGTTGGCCTTGGTTGGTGTGGCTGTGGTGGTCGCTGTGTTCGTAGATTCTGGTTCGGTTTTTGTTGCTGTTCTTGCTTATGCTGCTGCTGATGTCGCTGTTTTCCATTTATTCTAAGATTCAGTTTTAGTTCAAAGTCTTTTTGGTCAGGTGAAATGGCATATTCGCCTCTTCCATTTACCCTCTCGTCAGAAATTTGAAAACTTCCCACTTTCTTAGGGCGTTCTTTGGAGTTACGTGATGACTGTTTCATGTCTTGCCTGTAATTCATTCTTAAAGCCAGAAACTTATGAAGCCACTCGTGAATATATTTTTTACGATTAGATAAAAGCTTCATAAAAACTTTAGGAGATCGCCAAGGCATAATTGTAGGTTTTTTGGCGGTTTTGTAATCAACAGCTGCAGATTTACCATTTGAACTCAATTGCTGGAAGACATCCAAGCCTGTTAGAAGATGAGACACTGAAGGGATCTCCCACACACTCTCTTCATTCGGTTGGTGAAATTAATCAATTCCAGCATTCTGGCCATAGGAATCTGCATATCCTGCGAATCGAACACATGATTTATTCAGTCCATATACTCTATAGAGAGTAGAGCACGTGAAAGAAATGTAATTCAGGACCACTTAGTTAGAAAATAAAGCTACGTATTAGTTTTAAACGGTTGACGGGTATCGTTTTTTAAATGGAAACACGGCAAAAGGCCCAAGAGAGATTTGATGAAAGCAAGAAAGTTGGCGCGCTAACCATTATTTTCATCGAAAGACCAGAGAATTTAAGAACAAATTGACCTTCTTTTCAAGCGTCAATTATCATCATTATTATAATTCCGTAAAGGAATTCAGAAACGCATGAAAGTGGATACGATTTGGAAATTTACAGATAATTCCGGGCAACTAAGACTACTTCAAAACGCACGGTGTTCTTAATAAGTCGATCAGTCCGGAAAACCAATTCTGATCAGTGGTTTGCGTCCCAGACAAAGCATTACATAATTACACTTCGGTAAAAAAACCTTTAAAGTAGCTTTGTAAGATGCATAGTCCCTAATTTCAAAGATGACAATCTGATGCTGTTCACTCATGCAAGCACTAAGGAGTACAAGTATCTGTTAATTACCATCAGTTAGTGTTAATATGAATTGATAATCCTCTTCCCTCTACCTGCTTTGCAGACTTACCCGCAAGCAAAAGGTTTACTAGACAAAGCAACACTAATCTAGTCCAGAATTTCAAAGGTGTCTTCATACTAAAGGAAAGGAGAGTTTCTTCCTTGCTGTCCCATTTTTATCTGTATGTCACATCAAGCTTCTAGTGTCCTTTCCCTGAAATCAAACTTAATGTCGCACTATGCCATGGTTTTTTCATCCCTTGAGCTTTGGATTTTAACTTTTCGCCATTCAAAGCCACTCACTGAGTCAACCAGCCTTGAAGCATGCACAGCGGGTGTCTGAGATCTTCAACAATTGAGTACAAGTTAAGTACTAGTTGACAACTGGTAGTTTTGAAGAAGCAATTCTTAATATTTCATGCTTGGACAGATATCATTATTTCTTTAGGGAACTGTTCCGACGAAACACGAAATGGTTAGGTCTTCCGGCAAATCTGGCTACCGTTCAAGGTCTTACTTGAAATATTTTCTTTTAATCGAGGCAACTAAAAACCAGGGTAGTTGTTACTGGAGAGAATTCCAGTTTTCCACTTTTTAACTTGACACACATTTATTCCTGTCTTGTATTCTGTTATTTTTCTCTCTTTTCATAACAATTGCACTGGTAATAACCGTTAAAGTACCACTTGTAAAATTACTCAAGAACTTCTGTAGGAATTTTAGTCACTTCAGATCTCAAGATAAATTGTCAACTAAAAAACAAGCTAAATAAAAATGAAATGAAATAAATAAATGGCTTTTTTAGTCAAATTAACGTGGTCACGCTATACCCTTTTTTGAAACGCGGACAAAAACGACATGACTTCCAGTTGTCTTTGCTTAATTTTGATCACATATGAAAAGTCGTTTTTTAAGTCAATCGACATGACCTTAAGGTAAACTTCGCAGTTAAAAATGGTCGATTCTTTTTGAAGTCGGTTACTATTCATTTCTCATTCCATCTCGTTTCTTGTGCAAACACATTTAAGATACCTGACTTCTTGAAAATGTCTTCCTCTCTCTATCTGTTGTTAACGTCGCGACTGCAAATTGTCATGGTGAAAATAAACTTCCTTACAACCAGGAAATAAAATCAAATGAAACAAAAATGAAGTATTTGATAATATTACTTCAACGTAAAATTTGCCATTTTAAGGTATAAAGAAATTCGTGAATGACTTGCCGCTTGAGTTTATGTTATCATGGTGTTTAAAATATAGAATCGAAACCTCATCTTTTTCCTTTGTCTACCGCTTGAAGATACGACCGAAGGCGCTTTTAGTCGACTTTTCACAGAACGGCCACATAGAGTATCAGAGGTTGTTTTGAAGTGTCAAACGGATCCAAACAAATTTTGTTGGCTATTGATTTGAAGAAATTTCCAGTATTCACAGGCTTGCGTTTTCCCGTGCATAGGATAATTTGCATGCTTTCAATTCCATACGTAATAGTTTCCCTGTTCTAACTGCATGGCTGTTGAGTTATGACGTAGTTATTAGTCTTACTTCTCTCAATCCGAAAACCCTGTACACTAAAGAGCTGAGAAAGTAATTAAATTCTTGACTTAGAATTTCTCCTATAGGTCAACCTCAGGACAAGGCGAAAAAATGTCATTTAAGGTTCATCTTCTTGTGGGGACTAAAAAATTTGCTTGTGTTACGCTCCAGTATAAATCCAAAAAACGGTATCTTTCTGGCTTAATTACCAATTAGTCACTACTAAAACTAAAGTTGAAAATCTTCACATACTAGCTAGTACACAATGCTGACAGACGATATGTTTATTTGCGTACTTACACATTATCACCTGGTCTAAAAATGTTACAGTATGAGAATCAGAAAAAAAGAGTTTGTCCATTATTACTGGTTTCCATTATTTTAAGGCTTTGACAGCCTCATACACGACTTTCTCTCTTTACTTTACTTTAACTTTACTTTAATTTATCTCATAACATTACAATAGTCTCTTGCTCTTTCCCACATGAGACACCGTGTCTTCACTCTTCTGTTAATCTTTAGGTATCAGCGTGTCCTATAGAAGCTTTTTATCTCGCAATTTATCGCAATAACTTGAATCAAATGTTCCTTTGAAAACGTTCTTCTTGTACTCCCCATTGTAATTTCCAGACGGCTTGAAGCGTCCCACCACGAAAACGCACGGCATTCCGTTCTGGTATCCAGCTGCCTTTCCAATCCCGAACTCATGACTGTCAGCCCAGACAACCTGCGTGAAATGGCCTGAAGACATACTGAACTCTCCACGGTCAAAATCGTAGGAGCACACCTCATTATACCTAAATGGGGACAAAACGGAAACAACTCCATCTTGAGGAAATAGTTCATACAGGCACATGTGTACAGGTTCACTTCTCACCACTTAAACATGTTGAGGTCACATAGGCGCATGCGTGGAGCATTTTGCTTTTGCAGGGGCTACTTAAACTCCTTTTGGATAATAACAATCAATCAATATGTTTTAAAGAGGAAACGTCACTAGATCGGGTGGTTGAAATCTAAATTGCTCGTTACCTGATGTGAAAGACAACTGAAAATTTTTCTCGACCCAGCCTTGTTTAACTTTTTCCTTGGAATTGTATGGTTAAGACTAAACGTGATGGAGGCAGCCTTGTTTCCCTGTGTCCTCTTTAAACATGTCGAGGATAAGTGATTTGATAGTGGTGTGTATGTCTCAAAATTACTATCTTGTCTAGCGTAAATATTTTTATTATCTGAGTCAGTTGAGGAACACTTTTGGAGAATATTAAAACGATTAAGAAAAACTCTCTGGACTTTTGCTTAGTCTGAAGTGACCAAACCACGTTTACTTGTCGAAAATCTATCCATCATTGGTAAAGTACTCTTTAGATGAGTCTTTTATCGATAAAGAAAAGGGCACCTAAGTTTTTTTTTTAGAATTCATAGTATTGATCTGACCAGTTTGTTATGGCCTCCTTGGCGGTTAAAGGTACTCCATACTCCTTACAACCCATTGCAAGATTCTCTCCTTCGTCACTTTGTCTCACGGCATCATAGTCATGCTGAAGCGAGCCCATCCCAGCAATCCTTTCGGCATATTTCCTTGCTTCCAGATTAAGCTTCGGATCGAGTTTAATTGGAAGGGCGCGGTGTATCTTACGGAACGCGTTAGTCGTGCCAAGTGCTTCCATTTCAAACTCCTCATCACCTAATAGCGTGACGATAAAATTACTCGCTTGCACCAATGTTTTTTAAAATCCTTTCACTCCCAAGATCTAAATATCGATTCTTCACACTCTTTTACATACATTTCTATTAATGTTAGATTTGAGAATTGGATGGACAATCAGCATTCCCTACGTAATATCTTTTAATTCAACTCCCTCTTCGAACAGACTCAAACCATCCATTTACCAATCTTTAGGCAGTTTCTTTCAGAAAAGACTTTTTTCGAAAATGCCGATATGCGTGAACTATGGCTTTCATCTATTAGTATTTGGCATGGTGATTACCTTTTTCACAGATTGAGTCTCGCCGTTTATAAACCTCTCGGTAAAGCAATAAATATCGTTTACACTTACTTTGCATTTGAATTTCCTTGTTACTTTTGCTGGTCTCAGAAACCGAGGTATTCACGGCTGTATGCTGCTGACTGGAACTTTCCTTGAGACCAACTTTAGAAGCATCACCAGGCTGCGGATTTTTGGCTACTTCGTCCGAGCCGCCTTTGTTAGCCTCAGGTCTGTGAAATTCTCCTGAACATTGAACTGATGTGATTAAAGCACCATTGGCCCCTTTTGTAGTCTTCCAGTGACAGTTGGGCCCAAGGCTTTCATGGAGCCCAAGTTTCTTGTCTTTTTCTATTTGATTGGTGGAATCCACTCCTATGTTATCAACTGTCCCATTACCGGCATTTCGAACTCCAGGCACGTTAAAAGGAAAATTTCCATTGCTTGGTTTCTTAACTTGGGCTTCAGGCTTCACGTCAGAAACAGTAGTTGTGGTTGTTTTGTTTCCTTTTTTCCCATCACTATCGGGACTTAAACTCTCAGTATTCTGCCCACTGGGCGAAATAGTGATAACCGGCACGGAGGCATTCTTACCGACGGGTTTTCCTTGCTCAGCATTAGTAACAGGTTTGTTTTCTAAACCAACCACTACTCCGTTGGATGCATTAGTTTTTCCGGGCGTTTGCAATGTTAAAGATACGGCTGGGGTAATAGATTGTGTCCCGTTTTCCTTCTTTCCTTCATCCTTTCCTTTATTCAGACTTTCTTTAATCTTCTTTGCCAATTCTTGGACAAATGCTGGGGAAGGCTTAGACGATTCTGATGGTCCTTGAGTGCTATTTCCATTTGCTTTAGCTGTTCCGGAGTTATCAGTTAGCCCACTTGATTCTTGCTTTTGCTGCTGCGTTGGTTCCTGCTTGCTAGCAAGAGTTTGTTGTCCCTGTGCGAGTGTCTGGTTTGCAGCCGTTTTGTTCCCTTGAGCCATCTGCGGTACTTTCTGATCTTTTGCTTCTTGCGCTATTGTGGCATTAGCCTTGCTATCACTGGCTCGAGATCGTTCGTGAAACAGAGGACTCCCACTGACGAGAACAAAGTCTTGAACTGGACTTGGGACAGTTTCTCTCTGCGCACTGGCTGCTGCTGTATGTTTCGATGCACTGTGTCTTCCATGAGTCTTGTGCCGGAGATGCATTTTATGTCCTGTGTGTCTTTCATCGTGCAAAGCGTTGTTTTTTTGGTGTTCTTTGTGAGGTTCGCTTAACACTTTTATTACTGACAAATTGAATAAAAATGGAAAGAGTGAGATATAACTCGAAGAAACAGCGAAAAGTTCAATCTTTCCGAAATAATTCTAAGGCAATGGTTGACACAGGTCGCTCCTCAGTCCATAATTTATGTATCGTACCCTGGCAAATTACTAATATGAGTACGTCTAGGATCGAGGCTGTAACCATCTATCCTATATATTTAAGTATTTTTCCGAATTCTCCGATGGCTTTTGTGCAACGCAAGGCCGTTCTGTTCATCTATCAGATACCACAGAACTGGAAGGATATGATTTCGCTCCGATTTACGGTAAAAGAAAATGCAGTGATGTAAACTTACCGCATTGTAAGAGTATAATCGTTGCTATGGACCAGAAACAGCTCATTTCGTTTTACCTTCGGAGAGAAAATATATATCTGTACGTTTACGTTCAGGTTTCATCGACATCGAGACAAGTGATTTGATACCATCTCGGTTAGATTGGCGATCGCATGCTAGAGATTTTGAAGCTAATTCTATCGCCACTCGACACGTTGCGATTCCTTGAATTTTGAGGCCAAAAATGTATAGGAAGGAATATACTAGCACAGTTTAAATTGCTAAAGAACTTATAATTCGTTTCATACCGTAATAATAACTAATCGGAAATAGTCTTACATGGTAGTAAAAAAATCAGATAAAATGATAAATATACGAGCAAGAATTGATACCAACCTATAAAGGTCACAAAGTTTAGACTGAGATTCACGGATGCAAAAAATAGGTCAGTTTCTCGGCTTTCCTCTGTATTTTTCCAATATTTCTTTCCAAAAGTTACTCGTCTGTGGAAACAACACCATAATATATGTATTGACCGAGAAATATACGTATTGACAACTTGATCGACTACAAAAAAAATTACCTCATGTGCTGGTCACTGAGATGCTGGTATGTCAAGGACTTTTCAACGCATGAATTCTTCCCCATTTTTCTTTTTTCCTTTCTTTTAGGTAAGATTTGAAACAAAACCTGCTTTTCTTTTGTTTCTCTGCTGCATCAGATGTAAGACTCGTTCGATCCCTCTCATGATCGAACTCACCTTTCTTTAACATAAGCTTTGAATGAGCTTCTTCAAATCGATTTGATTCGGTTGGGTTATGCGAGAAGTAGGCCCGAAAGACTTCCCAAATGAAGGGGAATTCTAGCTTATTTAAGTTTGTGAAATTTAAGCTTAGTTCGTGAAAGGATCGCTCAAACAGTAAGCTTTGGAGACTTACCCTGCAGCGTACAAACCAAGCTCTCTTAATGTCGTTTTTGAAAGTGTAGCCAGCTTTAGGTTTCTAAGGTAGTAATGCCCAAACAGAACAAATTATTCGATGTCTCAGTGCTCACTCTGCTTACAATCTGGAATTATCTGATTTCATTGGTTTAGGATATTCCTCTTTGGTCCCCTTATCTTCACATAATTACCTTCACGACGTGACAATTCTGAATTTTCACTCATGGGACTGGTCGAGAGGTCAGGAATGAGATTTATAAAAATATGACCCATGACAGAACGAAAAAAAAAGCTTCAACAGAAAGTATCTGAGGTGATTAATGTCTTAGGAAATAAGTGCAAGAAGAATATAAGAAGATAGCTTAAAGGGCTGGTTGCCTTTGTTATGTTTACACCCCCAAAAGATTTAGAAACTCAGGAAATAAGATCACACAAGGCTAAAAAACGTGCATCAAATATAACTAGAGCGATCTTTTGTCGTCAAATCAATAAAATTTTGTATTTTATCGGGCTCAGTGCGCATTTTGATTAGTAAGAAAGAGAATAACCTTAAATGACGATTTGTTAACCCCATTCTTAATTGATGGGTACTAATTAAAGAGTTGGTAGCCTTGATTACGACTTGTTCTCTTCCTTGGCCAACATTCCAATGCATACTTAAGCAAAGTATACGAGCACAGCAGCGTAGGAGCCCAGAGAGGGTCATGATCACCCAATGCTAAACAAGCAAAAGGCCCCATTTAATTTAGGTTACGATTGGAAGTCATCAAAACGTCACAAGAAGACTTTTCTTATGTCTATCGTTTATTTATGTATAAATATGACTCTACTCTTTGTCAATTTATAGCTTATTTAAAACAAGAAAATTATGACTTTTCTCATTTCAAGAACATTGAAGACTAAGTGAATGTTTTATTACCAGGGTAGTAAAGTACGCGTGAAATCAAACATTGAAACACGTGTCTGCTATTCGGAGGCACTATGTTGAGGCACATGATGGGGATCATGGGTAATAAAATTTCCAAAAGCGCTTTCAAGCTATCGCTATCCTTACCACGATACCAAACATTTTATTTATGGGCAATCCCTCCTACTTAAGGCAGGAAGAAAAAGTTCCATTTAGACCTCTACGGTGTAATTAGTTCGTTTTTCAATATCCTACCCGTCCAAACTGTTCTTACAGGCTACTTTTTTTTTATATTTCTACAGTATCCTTTGTTAAAGTTTCCTCTCAACACTTGATCCTGAAATTCTCCCATCATGTTACCCGCGATGTCATAACGACCAACCACATAGATACATTGCATTCCATTCTGAGTGGCCTTCCCTTGTCCGATGCCCAGCTTAACGCTGTCCTTCCATACCACCTGAGTAAAGTGACCTGTTCCAGAGCTGAATCCACCTGAAGCAAAGTTGTAGCCAGGTTTGCACACTTCATCGTACCTATACAGCACAAAACAAATATTCACGTTAAAGGAAGCACCATTGGCCTTTGACATCAATCGTCATTGCTTCTACACCACATACGTTAAAAGACTTAAAAACGATACCAGTGTTTATGACCCTTACAGCTTTTGCTTCCCCTCACATGATCAATTGATAACTTCTCGCACGAGTTGAAAATCCAGCTTTAGCATGCTGTGTTTTCAGTGTGATCACGTACCACATTTTGGTCGCAGATTCTCCTGTCAGCGGAGTACCGTTTGACGCACAGGCGTAAGCCAAATTCTCGCCTGTACTAGTTCCTCTTTCTGCCTGAGATGAGTGCAGCAGCTGACCCATGTTTGCAATTTTTTGTGCGTAGGCTTTAGCCTGGTTACTGAGGTCTCGATCCAAGGTCATCTCTTGGACACCATGTACCTTTCGATATTTATTATGCGTTTTCAACGCTTCTTGCTCAAACTCTGAATCGGCTGTAAATAGAAATTACGAATAAATGTTATACTTTTTGCCTTTTCTTCTCATCCTCACAATTTACTATTTTGTTATTATTTGCGAGTGTCAAAGTTTGCTTTTTTTTGTTTTCTTAGCCCTATAATAATTGTTGTGATCAAGCGATCTCAAGAGATTATTCCCTTTCAGTATTTCGATTCGTATTACAATTTGATCCGCTTAACACCACAATTAAGTAGAGAGAGGTCAAAAGAATGCTTACGCTGTGGCTCGTTAGAATTGACGCTGCTGCCACCAAGGGCACCACCGCCGCCACTCGGTGGGCTAGGGCTAGGACTAGGGTACGGTTCAGGTTGGGGACGTTGACTAGAACTTGGGGAAGGTCTCTGTCCCTCAGATGTTTGAGAACTTGGGAGACGACTAGGTTTTCTTTGCCAACTCCAAGGATATCTTCTTCCTCCATTCACATCAACGTCCGTTTCTGGAGTACTCTCTATTCTGGGGTCTTGGTTCATTACTTTGTTTGTAGAATGCTCTCCCGGTTCACGATTTCCTGCATTATTTCGCTCTGGATGGTGCGCTACTTTTCTAGTGTTTAAAAGTGGAATACCTTTTGCCATTTTCAAGAAGTACACTATCCTCTGATTCCTATTTTCCTGATCATTTCCCTTCGACTGATTGCTTTCGATCTCTTGAGAGGTCTTCTGATTGTGGGTTTTAGCGCGATAAAATGGTATCAGTACTTTTCCCTCATCATCATCTTTTGATTGGTCTGCCTTTGGAATCTCACCACCTTCCTCTGGGTTCCCAACTTTTATTTGGATTTGCTTATCGTGCAATGCGTTTTGTTCCGTTGAGTCACTTGCTCTATCAGTACTTACAGTCTCTTGTTCAGAACTTATTATCAATGGCTTTGTGCTTTTTTCTTCATCCTGTTTAGAGAAACCTTGGGAGAAGGATTCTTTATGTTCTGGCTGATGTGATGTCTCTTGTTCTGTTAGGGTTTCCGTATTACTGCCACTAGAAAGTTCTACTCTAGCTGGTGATATTGCTTCTTCTAGTTGTTCCACTTGTCCGTGTGCAAAGTCAGCATTACTGTTGCCAAAAGTTTCTTGTTTTTGAGCTTCGAGATTGAAGTTCTCTTCATTAGTTTCACCTCGGCTAGGTGAGTTTTCTGAAAAATTTGAGTTGTCAGAATTCACTCCATGTTCTCGTTCGTTACCGACTGGCGAGGACTCCTGTTGCTGCACTCCTTGAATGGATTCTTGTTCCTGGACTGGATTTGCTGAAGATCCCTCAATATATCTATCTTGGTGCTCAACTTTCTCATGATGGCTATAAAGGGAAGGATTATCACTTTTTTCATCTGTGGGTGAGGATGCTTCGACTGACAGGTCTCCTGAGTCTGTATGACCAAAGTTGTTCAGCTGAACACCCTCGCCATGTTGGGGTAGTCCTTGATTTTCTTTGTAGGATTCTTGTTCGTTTGATAGTCTCTGTTGAAACTTATACGAGTGGTCAGTTGGTTCGTTATTTAAACCAGGATCACGTGTGTCAGTTGGTTCGTTATTTGAACCAGGATCACGTGTGACACTACTGCCTTGTAAAGTGTCTGTTTGTTCATCGGGTTTTTGCTGTGTTTCTTGGCTATTAGTGTCTGTATTTTCATAATTCGAGGTCGTATCTACAGCTTTCCCCGAAAGTCGGTAATGCGATGTGTCCCTCTGGCTTGTAACCTCAGCTGATGGCTGGCCTTGATCTTTTGATAGCATCGCATGCTCGAGATTATTAGTCGCCGTATTATTCTCCTCCCCATTTGAAATTTGTGGCATGGTTTCAGCGGCTTCATGTTGATCTAATGGTTGCCGTCCTTCTTTTCCCGTAATTTGACCAGCTTCATAATTAGCATCAGGCTCATGTTCAGCACCATTCTTTGATTCTTCTGTGCTCTCCTTCTGAGAGCTTACATCGTTGGTAAATGAATTATCTTGTTTTGGTCTTTGATGGGCTACAATCCCTAAAAACGGGCGATCTGATGTAATGTGTAGTGTTTCTTCTTCATTTTGGCTATTATTTGGTGACTCATCTGTAACAGCCCCAGAAATAGGTGGCGATGGTTCATTTCTAGCTTCATTTTCAGGTTTTGGTAATTTCTCGTTTTCTTGACTATGAGAAGCACGACTATCTCCTTCACGATATGGCAGGAAAGATGTTGATTCGCCTTCCTCAGAGTTTCCATTGGAAAAAGTATTATGCGAACCGGACTGTAATTGTATGTCATTGGTTTGTTTTTCAGTTGATGGCTTCTTGGGAAAGGAATGGCCACTTTGTTCATATGATGGCCCCATTATAATCCTGTGGGTGAGTTCTTCATCAAATGCGCTTTCGATTATCTTATGCGGTCGAAGTTGATTAACCAAGCTTCCAAATCCAGGAGATCCTTGGCTTGGTGTTGAACTCTCTAGACGCATTGTAAAGGAATCATTTGATTTTAACTTTGGTGTTTGTCTAGCCTTATAGGCATTAACGTATTCTTGATTATCAGATTCACCTCCATCTTTTAAGTGAGACGCAATGTGCTGGCCATAATTATTATTGTGCTGATGATAGCCAGGGTGTTGTTGTTGAGGTGTATTTTCAGCCTGAGAAACTCCTTCGTTAATCTTGAAACCGTTTGGTGAAGCATTCCTTGATTCCTCCAAAGGAGCAACACCTGTCTCCTTCTCGAGACGTTCCACACCACCCAGTGACGGATCCGTAACTGTGTTAAGTGGGGAATATTCTGTTTGTTTGTCATGTGTTCTCCAGTACTCAGAAGATCCAGTTATTACGTTTGGGTTATATCCGCGGTGTCCTTCTATATCATGGTCACTCCGCCGTCCGTTGTGTAAGACACTAGACCCTAACAGGTGTGATTCTTCATCATACGCTTTGATATAGGTTTTCTCAGGTATTTTGTTGTTCACAGTTTTTTCTTCGACAGACGGATTGGTTTTGAAGGCATCAGACGGAAAATTCTCCTGGGTCTCCCCTGTCACTAAGATTTGGTGCACTCGCTCTACGGGGTGATCATTCACTCCTGTTTTGGCAGGTTGTTCGTGTTGATATTGGTAACTCTTCATTGGATTAGAATACGACCTATCGACAGAGGAAGGGTTTCTCTCAAGGTTTTCAATTTGTGACGAGGTGTCTGCCGTTTGATCAACTTTTGTGTATTTTGTGGGCTCCGGGACTTTATTATCTGATTTGTAAGGTGACACATCCAAAGAGGGTCGTGGTTTTATAAATTGATGCTGTGTGTCCTTCTCATTTGTGTGATCACCCTTTCCCTTGTCGCTTAATGGATGGCTTTCCTTTGTTGTATCATGGGAAGAAAATCCCCAGAAACCGTGCCCTGTGTTCGATACCTTTACCACGTGATCATTTCCTTTTCCTTCGTAACTGCCATTCTTATCAACATTTAGCTTTGCAGAAGGTTGACTCTCATAACTATGGGCAGGGTTGTCGCTTCCTTTCCCTGTTTTTTCGGTACTGCTTCCTTTTTGAAGTGTTTGGGTTTTACCCGACTTGGTAAATGGGACTCCATTTAACAAAGGAGCTCCTGTGAACAGTGCCTCGGTGTAGCTATAGCCACGATCAGATGGGGATCCCCTTAAAGACGATTGCAGAGTTGCTACAAGGCCTGATTTCTGTTTGCTGTAGTGATGAAGGTCTTCCTTACTTGGAGTGTCCTTCAGCTTTTCTGACTCGCCATGCTTAGAGGACAGGATCATCCCTAGTCCCTTGTGGTGGTGTACATCCTCTATGGGGTTCCCCATAAGTAACAAGTAATGGGATCTTTGGTTAGGTATGGACTCCTTTTTGTTGTGCTTCTTCTTTATAGACTTCGAGAACGTTGCTTGAGCTGTTAGGGGGAAATAAACACCGAAATCAGTTGCAAAATATAACACTGATAGCCGTTACTAGAATTTGGAATAATTCAAACCGTTGTTACCAAAGAAAGTTGAAATAAAGTACAATTATCCAATCTATTTTCGATATTAACGTTTTCGATTAACTCACCAAAAATTAAAATTGTAAAGACCCAGGTCATCTTCAATTTACGCATCATGATAGTCTTACTGCAAATGAAAAAGGGAACATAAAGCATGTTTCCTATAGGATTTTTCAGAATATCTTAGAGAACTATTTCAAAAACAAGGTACTTATAATTACCATTTGAAGTTGACGAGAGACCACAGTATATTACGAATTTGTCATCAGGAGAACCTCTTAACTCTTGAGTCACCCTAAGTTAACCTGGCTCGTGTGTAAGCAAAAGCTATTTCTTGGCCACTTCAAAGACAATTTACACAAAACAAGTAAAATTGTCACACAAAAAATAAAGGTATTCAGTAAATTATCTTCACGTGAATGTACTCGAACACTATTACTTCATATTTTGTTTACGCTCAATGCAGGTAAGGTCAGAAAACTCGAGTGTGTTTTAACCTTAAACAGCTGACTGGTTCCTCTCTTCTCTTATCCCTCATATCTTTGTGCAAAGAACAGTGTGAAAACTTGTCAATTTGATTAGTAATTTTGATGGGTTTAAATCTACATTAACCCCGTATAAAGGCTAATAGCAAAGGAAAGTAAGGTCGAAATTTCTTAACCTGTTTTGATGTCTAGCGCTTCAATTTTATTGTGATTCAAAACATGTCTTTTCTCTGATGGTAATAAGTTCAGAATAGGACGCCCACGTATATTTGCCCCAAAATCATTTCGACCACAACACTTTCACTGATAATAACTGTAGTAAAGAAAGCCTCAATTTTGTACGAATTTGTGTGCGTTTGAATAAAGAGCGTAGCTAAAAAAAACAAGCAAACACACAGCGCTGTTTTTCCCAAAATTAAAATCCATGAAAAGGCAATAAAAGTCTACTTGGTCTGTTTCAGATAATCTTAGTCTGGCATAAGTTGAGTTTACAATATCTCTTTAGACAGCAGATGGGATCATTGGCGAAAATGATTTCTACCGTGCATACTTATTTGTTCAAGCGTAATTTCTTTTTGGATCGTTCAACGATTGATTGATTAAGTGATTGACTCGAAAGTCATTAGCGCGTGCGCAACCGACTGGAGCCAAAACAACAGGTTATTAACTATCCGAAGAGGATCATTCATTTGCCCTCAATTTGACCAATTATGAATTGCAATAGTAGTAATGAATAGGAAGTCTATAGAACATCTGCTAAAATTGTTGAAAGTTTCTCTCCATTGTTATCATTTTTAATTCTATGACGAGTAAACATGCATGGCAGCTGGAAAACACACACAGAAAAATAAAAGATCAAAAAAGACAAACCCCAACAAAGAGCACAAACACAAGAATTGGTATTTCATTTTATTTCATTTATAAGGGAAAACCAATGCTGCAATGTTCTCTTTAAACTCAAAGGAAGATGGCTCGCTCGTTCTCAACATCACTTTTTAGAGCTTTAACTGGAAATCAAGCGAGAAGATAAAAGGGACATTAGATAAGTGGTCAATTATAGCCCTTAACTCTCACACTTCACACTTTTTATTCTATTTTCAGATTATCAATATTTATATCGTCTGACCTGCAAATAGGCATAGTTGTGCCCAGCGCCATTTAAAAGTTTTGTAATAGTAAAACGAACGTTTGAAAGATAATTTTTCCTTTTAGTCAGTGACATAGGCATGCTTGGTAAAGACATTAACAGAACCATTTCCAAGATTAACACCTCTGCCCTTACAAATGGTTTTTCGCATGCTCTACCACTGAGCTGTGGATGAGTAACTAGACCAGCACACAAGAGTCATGTTACTGGTATGACTATCGCATGAATTCATTCGTTAATGCAATGCTTGTTCATTGTGACAGAAATGTTTGTAGTTCATGCAGCTGAAGATTCGTTTCAATTAAAAATGATGGGGATTAGGTTTCAGAATCCATCCTTGATAACATTGATTGGACGGTTGCTTAGGGTTTGGTTTAGAATAAAATACTACCTCCGTGTAAAGTATAAATCTCAAAAAGAAAAGTGTTATTCATCTCAGCGTCTAAAACAGCACTTTACATACCTAGCCCACCGTGTAACTATTAATCCAGTTTCTGTACTTGCTCACTCTGGCATTGACAGAGTAATGTCCCGGATGACAACCACCGTCACCCCAACTGACCACACCCTGTAGGTACCATCTGCCGGTCCAATCCTTACATACTATTGGTCCACCACTGTCGGTGTTGCATGTGCTGATGGGACTAGAGCCACCATGACCTGTGCAGAACATGGCGTTTGTCACAGGGATACCAGCGTCCTTGTTATTTCTCTCGCATGCTGACTGACTCACTGTAGGGAGCATGGCCTGTTTGAGGATGTCCGCTTGACTGCTCCAGTCCTCAAGAATTGTCAAGCCCCAACCTTCGGTAAACAAATAAGCAAACAAACTAAACAATGGAACATTTTTTGTAATGTTCCAGGTCCATTTCATTTCTGATGAAAGGTATCTTTTAATGTTACCATCATGATAACGAGGGGTGATCCTACTCACACGTAATTCAAAAGAGTTTGATCGGACGAGGTTTTCGAGGTGAGATTTTACTTCTCTATTTCAAGCCATTTCCTTATGGATAAACGGGGGCAAGCAGTGGCGGATCCAGACCTTTAGTTAAGGGAGGGGCCGTTTTTGTTTGTGCGTCTTCACTTACCGGCTGTTCTTCCCTCCGCGTTTATTTTTTACCCATAAAAAGGGTAGGGTTAAGGAGTGGGGGAGGGTACTAGGCCCTCCGGGGTTTCCCCTAGATCCGCCACTAGGAAGAGACCTAAAAAGCTGTAAACCGTGTTTCATTCCTTTCCGAGTGGGCGATAGCACGTTAAACAGATAACACGTGAAAGTGTTTGTCAGCAATGGGGTTGAAGCTTTATTTTTTCCCGCCTTTGACCCTGAGGATAACAACTTTGGGAGCATCCAATTCTGTATTTTCTCAACTTCCCCTTTCTTCATGATCTATAATGAAAAATTTCTGAAAGTAGAAACGCTTGCAAAAAATTAGAAAAATCTACTTATTCCAGTGAATAGTTACCTGTGGCATAACATCTCTTTCCAGCCGGGATAATGTAGCCTTGTTTAGGAAGACAGATCAAGCCGACTTGTTGATTCAATACAGCGGGACGGTTCAGTTTTATTAACGCTGATTGTGCCGGAAAAGAATGAAACAATGTATGTCTTCGTTTGTAATAGCTTTGTTTACGTATCGTTTAACCTAGTATCAATTGATTTTAGATTCAATCTTAAAACAAAATTCTTGTACCTCGTAACTTTGAAGGCCCTTTACTACATCATATGTAAACTCTGGATCCGCCGATGCCATTTTATTTTAGCAACTTTAGATATAGGATGGAACTATTTGTTTCTCATGAGGAAGTTTCATGGAAAAACTCTAATGAAACTGTAAGATAATCTAAGAGCATAAGAATCGGGTTATCTCCTTGAAAACTCTTTATTCGTCGTAATCCTTTGCTTACTATTTCTTCACTAAGGGACTCAGTAACTGCACGCTGCTAAACTCTGTGTTAATCTTTCATTTTCTCGGATCTACAATTCCTATACAGTGTATTTCACTGATCGTTCTTTGTTTTCAAAGTGTAACTTACAATGGCATCAGTTTCCCACTAGAGTAACCAATCAGTAAGCCTGAATTACTGAGTACACATCAATTTGGGCTCACCAATATCATTGTTCACGATCGAAGGCTTATTATAATGTGGGTGTACCACAATATCCACCACTTTGAACACTTGTTCGTAATCCCCTTGTGTGCTCCTTCGGTGTTCGCCGAGAGTTATCCGAAAATCCCGATAATACTGAGGTCTCTTCGCATGATCCACGCAGTGGGCCGCTGTTACGATCCACTGTGGGCTAACCAAGGCGCCTCCACAGTGATGGCCGCCAAGATAATTCATCTGCACCATCCAAGGCCATGAATTAGGGGCTGCATTATGACCACTGATGATTCTAGTTTGCGGGCGAATTCCACAGGTTGCTGAAAAAAGTTTACGATCAAGCTGTGGCACTAAATTAACAAATAGGTAGTTGCTCTGATGCAAATGCATCTCAAATTAGAGCAGTTTTCACTTGAGTCGAAAGTGATCTGGGAAGATATTTTTTGGTATTTGGGGGAAAATGTTGAGTAATAAAAATTAAATTGGATCACTCTATAGCTTTTTGCCATAGTATATTTTTTGGAATTACGAAAATCAGATTACGTACCTTCAACGCTGGTAAGAAGCCCTGAGGAACAAGATATATAAACGGTTAAAATAAAAATTTACGAATCAGAGTGATGCAAAAAACTGAGGCAAAATGTAAAAAATTCCACAATACCACAATACCTGTGATATAAAATAATTCAATAACACCAATGGAAGTGAACATTCTTTACGTCTGCCTATTTTCAGTGAACTCCTCAAACCTAATTCCGACGCTCTTTTGCACTTGGTGCGGATTGATGCTCTTGGAGAGATTTGGAAAATTTTATTCTTTCAAAATGCGAGTCATGATTTAACAGCTTTTAGACTGTTAAAATAGATTGCGAAAACTATTTTATTAAAATTTTTAGAGCAATTAAAAATAATTAAAAGTAGAGATTGTCAAGCATTTTGAAATGAGAAGACAATAAAATACTCACGTTTTTGTCATTCACAGTGGACAACCTGAAAGTAGAGGGTGCACATACCTGCTCGCTATCGAATTTTCTCGGCTTGATGGGTTACTACCATTTTCTTTAGTATGGGGCTCCGCTACGCTCACGCTTCGCGTGCACGAGTTCCGCTATAAAGGCCAAGTACACTGTTAAACGATAAAAACAGATCTATATCTTATCTGATGCTGGAAAGTGAATGGAAGCAATGTATTACTACAAGCCATTCAGTAAAAAGTTTAATAAGCTAGTTGATCCTTTCCCATTTCTTTAGTGGTCTTAGTTTTTAAAAGATTTCTACAGTTTTTAGTAGAATATTGGAATATTTCCATTGTCTTGCGAAAAGCTGTTTCAATAATGTTTACATGATCGATAAAGAAGGAAATGACTTGTCCTAACAAAAATTAATACCTTACAGGATTTCCTGGAAATTGCCTATCTTATATTTTCAACCCCTTTTATCATTCTCGTTTTTGGGTTAGCTCTATGTCGAATTCCCGATCAAGAAAATACTTCTTAAATTTTAATTTAGCATGTTCAACACCTCTTTCTTTGGTTTGACTTTAAGGGTAAACAACTTATACTTTCCGTTCTCCGCACTGAATTTGTTTTATTAGATAGCATGTCCTAGGAACACGTAGCTCTCTTAAGTGCGATACCTCGGGTACTCTCTTCTCCGAATTCTCTCTTTATTTTATTGTTGTTTAACAATCTTCGAAGACTATTTTCTCCGCAGTCATCTTTCTTAGTGTAATTCTTATTATTTTAATAGGTATTCTATAATTTTTATATTGCCAATCTTGTATTCGTTATGCCCAACTTTCCCTGCAAGAGTAAGAAATTTACTGTAGAAAATACTTTTGTAACGACCAAATATCTCGAAGGTATATACTTAGTAGGAGGGATCTGTTTCACGCTAGCTAATTGAGAAATGATGACGATGGATGAGGATTGATAGCTTACCAAGTGTGACCTTTACAAGCTGGTGACCAACTGACGTAAGTTGAATGAGTTGTAAAAGAACAGAGGAAACATCTCAACGACAAGAAGAGTGTTGGATTTTTATCTTACAATATGGCCCATATGCCAAGTATATAGGCCAAGTTCTCCTTGACTAAAGCGGTCAGTATCGAAATTACCAGTTTTCTACGAGAGAAATTTTCTTTTTTATATTCTATTTCGATATCTGAAGTTTTAGAAGAAAATGAAAAACAGACACTGATTTCATATTCGGCTTTGTTTGTTTCACATCTTGAACAAAAGTCAATACAGGGGGGAATCTGCTCTGCTCCAATAAAAATAACAAAAGCGACTGAATTGCTCAAGGATTTTAGGCTTTTAAATTTTTCTTCAAACGCAGCTGAAAACATATTTCATGTGACGATGAGTATCTCTTCAGGAAAGATATCAGATAGAACTTTTCCTGTCTGTTGTCAGAATAAAATTATTGTCACTTAAAACAGTTTCGGTCCATTAATAACAGCGAAATAAATCATTTGCTTGCTTTTGGCCATGAGGTAGAGAATCAATTTGCCCACTAAGCATATCATCCTGTAATTGTACGAGTTTGAGCGAGCCAAGGATTTTTACTTACTTCACATCGGGCAGCTGCATCACAATTGACCATCAGCACAGGCAGGGTGGGGCCAACCTGAACAGTCACCCCTGCACCTTATTGCACAGTATCTCAAGTCATATCCAGATATGCACTGATCCTTGGGCTCCTGTGCGACTAGAAAACGGAGATGAAAAGTACTGATAAAAGAGAGCTTTTATCTTTGAATGATTTTATGTTAAAGCACCTCTTAACTCTCTGGGCAAAGTAAAGTCTTTGTTCACAACTTTATTAAGCCGCTTATATCTTTAGGAGTAATAAAGCTGTGAAAAGTTTTTAAAACATCTATATTGACAAATTTAGCCTGATTAAAGGGGGAGGGGCAGTGGAGCAGGGGGTGGGGGCGGGGAAGCAAGGAGACACCGCCGTCCTTTATTTGTCAACTTCGACCTTTGTGTAGCTTTGTCTTTCGAGGATCGACTACAGTGGCATAGAGTAGTAATGCTCTCCGTTTGTAATGCATTAGTCCACTTGTTCTAAACATTTCAGATCTAAGCGGGATTTACATGCTTAGGCGTCTAAAAACCAGCGAGATTGGAATTGTCTACTACAATTCCCAGAATGTCTAGCCTGGAAAATGAATATCCTTCACGGAAGACAGACATCGGACAAAATATGTCAAAACAAGTTGCTGGTGTATATACCAAGGGCAAATGAGCAAAAAAACATTATTTTACCTCCGGGCTTAGGTTCCACGTGACCAACAAGCAAGAATATTGCAATTACTGTGAAAGTAATGAACAGCTTCATAGTGTAACCCGACACAGGATATCAATCTGGAAAGGAATAACTGTTTAGTAAAAAATGCAGCTCCTAGAAGTTTTTCTTTTGATTGTTTCAATGCGTTTAACACTTCAAGAATTAATGTTGCTCTATATGATCCCGAAATAGATGTAAAACTTAATTGTATGGTCCAAAGGCTTGTGCCCTTACGTTTCAAATGTCCATGATGCGTTTTCTCGAAAATTGATAGTCTTAGGGAACTCCTCTGAATCCTTTGCAAGTTTCCACTGAAAGAACTAGGACTTGCAAGAACCTGAATATAAGACAGAGAAAAAAGTTCTTTCCTACCTTGATGTCGATAAAAAATGATCAGGTTTGGAACGGATCTCTTGTAGAAGGTGTATTTCATTGATGTCTTTGTGATCACAGCTGATTCAGTTTCCATGACAACAACCGTGCGAGGATCAAACGGCAGAATAAATAGAGTGCGATCTGGCAGATATTACATATTATCATTTATGTAGCTTGAGCGACGGAAGGTTGACGCGTGCGTGTCTCGTCATTTGGTTTTCGCAAGTAGTTAATAATTTGCAAATGAGGGAGTTTGTAATTGAATATCTATTGTCAGTCCAAGTCAACTCAGGTAGCTATGCAGTCTGAGTAAGTCAAACAGAAATTTGGGAAAGAAACTCGAGTGATGTCGAATTGAAACAAAGGCTTGGGGCGACAAGTCGAGCTAGCAGTACAGAAATTCAGAACCCTCCTAAGTGCTCTTAACACGCGATTTGAATCTGAAACATGTATTCCGAACTCTTTTAATGTGGTGCCCAAGCCACTGGTGTGTCCCGCATACTCCTGACGTAGCCCTCGACAGCTGTGTTCTCAGTGTAGTAAGCTTTTCGCTGCGTCTATTTAATTTCATTTATTAGCTTTGCCAACAATACATACAAT